TCTAATACCAACATGCATTGAGCGTAACCTTGAAGTACTAATATTTAACAGCCTCAAAGCACAAGTAGAAGCAGCAACTTGGGTTAGCAATCAAATGCTTGGATGTCTCAAGAATTTATTTTGACGTCAGAGCTCTCAAGCTATAGAAAAAACTGTAATAGCTGTACATTAAGTTTTATATTTCTAAATTTCTCTACTCAAACGTGTCCTACAACCTGCAATATTAATAATTAAATATATAAGTTGCAACCAAAAACTAAAAATACTCGGCTAAACTACACTCAAAAAAAGCAGTAACCTTATAATGCAATACAGAATTGCTTATCATTTACAATAAAAATTAAGACCATGAAAACTGTTTCTTTAAGATTTTCAATCTTCTGGTTGAAAGATCAAGAACCGGTTGAAATTAAAGCTTGTGAAATAGAAAGATAACTTTATGGAAGACATTTTCCATCTTAATAGTTTAAAGGAGTCTTTATTTTCACTTGTGTAAATACTTTAGTTAGTATAGTATATATTTCGCTGTTCATATAAAAATAAATAATAAAACAACAATGAAACTTTTACGTTTCACAAAGAATAAATATAAAAACAGACAGGGCCTTAAAGAAGATACAGATGACTGGTATCACCACAATCTTTTTATATAGCCTCTTTGATAATATTATTTAAAACCCACATTACTTTAATAAGTTTACAATGAAATATAATTTGCGAAAAATACTACGTGAAGAATATTTATTAAAAACTTCGTTGCAATATAAATGTTAAAATTTTTAGTCAAATAACGTTAAATTAAGCATATTGTAGCATGCCAAACACACATTGTAAACATATAAAAGATATACTTTAAGCTTTTTCAACCCAATATACTCAAGGGTCTATAGCCTACTTTCCAATATGGCCCTATATGCATTCTAATTCGAATTTAGCTAGTGAAAAAGCAAGAAAATATTGTTTTCAATATTATTTCATAGAACCTGTTTATTAATCAATGATTGTGCTGCATAAGTATTATTAATCCAGAAGTTCTTGAAAATATGTATAATAATTAACAGTATTAGAACTAAAGAAACAGTCATTAACTAATATAATTATATATGCTTTTAATTTTAAAATATGCTTGCTTATATGAGCGCCTAATTGCTGCTCTGCCTCGGTCGCCATAAAAGCTCTCGGCGGCCCTGATGTGGTTAGTCGTCTTTTGTCAGCACACATTCATTTAAAAAATAGTTTGTATTCAATAGTATCTTAAACAGTTTTATGGATATACTTTTCCATGGTGATCTTTAGTTGTGATTGAGTCGTTGCAAACTCGAAAATGATAATTCCGCTGTTCCTATCATAAAAGTTTTTTTTAAAACTGTTTAGGAAATAGGGGGCTAAATGCTTTGTCCCCCCTCCCTCCAGTATTTTAGTTAGGGTGGCTATCGCCCCTTCTGCCCCTCCCTCTGTTCTTACGTCAGTGTATATTATAATATACATAATATATATAATATAAATATATAATAATATTATAATTATATTAATAATATAATATTATATAGTCTATATAATAACATATTAATAATATTATTTTAATGTTAATATAATTATAATATTATTTATTATTATTATGTTTATTATTATAATAATTTAATATAATATTACATAGTATATAATATACTATTAATCTATATCCTATATAATATTATATTATAATGTCATAGCCTAACTATAAATGTCTTTAAGAATATTAAGCTCTCTATTTGTCAACAAATTTTGTAGAATAACTAACATAATGTCTGACATAGATAACAATGTTAGACAGATAATTATAACTATGATAAATTATAACTATGACATTGCTATAGTTGAAATTTATGCTTTGATGACATGACTTAAATATTATATAGGCTATATTAATAACATATAACAGGCTATAACATTGTTATAACATTTTTTAAATTATAATAGACATATATGTATGCATGTATGTCTGTTATATGATGAGTTAAAGGTAAAGCTAGATTTAGCGCGGTTCTCCTACAGAAACAATAAAAATAAAAACCAAACATTTGTTATGATTATAGTAGCATATAGTTCTATTGTTTATAGCTTTGTACGGAAAACTAATCACAGAACCTTGAATGACCCATATTTATAAAAACCAGGATGATCGATCACACATACAAACACACACACACACACACACACATATATATATATATATAAATATGCTATATATATATATATATATATATATATATATATATATATATATATATATATATATATATATATATATATATATATATATATATATATATATATATATATATATATATATATATAGCATATTTATATATATATATATATATATATATATATATATATAAGCATATTTATATATATATAGCATATTTATAATATATATATATATATATATATATATATATATATATATATATATATATATATATATATATATATATATATATATATATATATATATAGCATATTTATATATATATATATAAATATGCTATATATATATATATATATATGCTATATATATATATTTATGCTTTATATATATATATAATATATATATATATATATATATATATATATATATATATATGTATATATATATATATATATAGCATATATATATATATATATATATATATATATATATATATTTATAATATAGTAAGAAATATAACAAAAAGTATCTTATAAAATATTTGTTCAGTAATATTTTACTTTTACAGATCGCACAAATTGTTTCAGCTTGGACTTGGACTTGTAAGAGATGACCCGTTTCTAGTTATTTCATGAGTGGTATAACAAACTTTATTAACCAGAGAATTTCTCACTGACATTGTTCTTGGATTTGTGAGTTTTCTGACTGTGTTATAGTATACCACAAAACATTTTTATAAAGTGCTTTTTAATATTGTTTTAAACTATATGGTCACTGATTCAGAAAAAGGATGTTTGTGTTTCTCAACCTTTTAAAAGGTATTAGTTTTTTTTTTTTTATCTTTATCTGTGTTTATCGTCTTTTTATGTGTTTTATGTCTACCAATTTCATGTGGTTTGTTGAAACTATTTCATAAAATATTTAAACCATCTCTATATCTCTTTTATTTGTTAAACAAAAGTTTTTATTTTTATTTTGTTTACTTTCTTAATTCTCTAAAAAAAGTATATACATATATATATATATATATATATATATATATATATATATATATATATATATATATATATATATATATATATATATATATATATATATATATATCAAGCCTTCCGGGAAGCGCGTGCGGTCGCACAACTTGTACGTCCACGCCTAAAGTAATTTTTAAGCGTGAGTAATATCAGTTTGACTAACACAAATTTAAAAGTATTTTTATTTCTGAAAACGATAATTTTGATTTAAAGACAGGACTGTTACGGAATCGTTCTAATAAAATATCGATTGATTCTTAACTGGTATTGAAGGGCAAAGATTAACCGTATTGAAGGAAACATAAAATTTACCAGGATCGATTTACCATGATTGAGCACATTCAACAAATTGATTTGAATTTCGAAGTTTTGTTTTATAAAGATTGGTTGAATGAGATTTACTAAACAATTTGATAATTTATATGTAGGTAACCCTATTGTGCTTACTCTAATTTGTGTTGCGTAGTTATTAGTTGCTTTGTGTGCCTTGATGACACCATATAATCGTGGAGGAGTGGCGTCACTTAGATAAATTGATATACATTAACTTTTTGTAAACTTTGTTTTTAGATTTCGTAAAGTATTCTGAACTTTGCGAAGGAGTTTTATGAATTGGATCATAGAGTTCTTCAGCTTTTTTAAGAGCATCAATTTAATTAATTTGAACAAATCCTGATCCTTTATCAAATGGATGAATACCAATTGCGTTACTAGACTTAATTTCTTTGAGAGCTTTAAACTGATCTTTATCTAAATTTGTAGAAACCAGTAAATGCATTTTCAAAACTAGAAGTACATCTTGTCTAAGTTTATTTGCATCAGTATTTTTGTTTGAATACTTTAACTTTAAAGCCGTTTCAGTTATACTTATTATTTCCATATACGGAACTTTACTCGCAATAGGAAAAAAGTTAGGTCCTGAATCAAGTAATTTTTAGTGATGTGTTGGGAAATTATCAGCACATGAATTAAGTTTTACTTTTTTCATTAATTTGTACTTTCTTTGGTTATCGTAATCTTTAAATCGACTTGCATTTATTAATAAATCAAATTTGTTTTTTAGCTTATTTCTCGATCGCAAAAACATATACTCGTAGGATTTATCTGTAATGTTTGTAATACTTTGAAAATCTTCATTACATAGATTTTATAAGTTCATTCAATTTTTCGATTGAAATTATGTTGTTAAAATAACTCTTTTTTGCTAGCTTTTGGGTATGTAGAAGTAGATCTTTTTTGGCGCCTATAGAAGGCAAAATAGACACATCTACAATAACATTTTTGCAGTTTGTTAATCTACTTATTCTATGTAGTTAAATGTTTTTTAATATTTTTAATTTATATATATTTTGTATATAGAGTAATGGTAAATAATATAAACTTGCTTTAAATATATATAATTTTTTTGTTGACTTTAAAAATAGTCAACCGAGTTGATAACTGGTAAAAATTGATAAGTGATAACCTTTACAATGAGACAAAAGAAGAGAAAAAAAAAACAATCAAGAGATTTATATTCACAAGCTAACCAAAACGAAGGTCTGATCATGATAAACTTTTTAATTGTAATTTATTACAATTTACAAGTTGCTTAAAATAATCAAAACCAAAAACACAAAACTTGTTTTATTTAATTCTAGAGATAACATTTAAAAAAAACATAATTTAAAAAAAAACATTCTTGAATAGTAAGTTATAAATAACCAACTTAAACTTAAATCATAAAAAAAAAATGTTTTATATTAATAATCTATAAATATTTCAACTCAGTCTTCATCATTTGATTATTAAATTAAATTTTTTTAATCAACTACCAGAAAATATAAACATGCTTGACAACATGTTTCAATTAAATCGTTTAAGGTTTCGTTTGATAATCTTTTACGTTTCTAAAAAAAAGATTTATATAATTTTTTTTTTTATTTGTTAATTTTTACTTTACTAACATACAGCTATTTATAACTAAAATATATTAATATATACAACATATATAGAAATATATTTTAATTCTCATATATTATAAAATAAAAATATATAGAACATACTTGGAAATTTATTAAGATATAGTAGCTATAAAATTATAAAGTTAAAGCGTATCTATGATACAGCGGGGGTAGTTGCAATTTTTATTTTATTTACATCGTTGTAATAGTTTAGAATAATTTATAAATACAAACAAGGTATCTGAAAAAAAAAATTAATATGATCACTAAAACCATTTAAAAGTGGAAATAAAGAGTAATAAAAATAATCATAATAAAAATAAAGTCGAACAAAATGTTAAAATACATATTGTGAAAATAAAAAGTGTATGAAACAGCTTTATTCCAAAGATATAAGACACAATGTTATACAAAATTGAATAAACTTAGTTTGGCAAAAAGGTCTATACCAAAGTTAATATTTTTAAGGGTATATATTTATAAGTTTCAAAGTAATTAGGATTTAAAAAATAAATAACGACTAATCATTTTTTCACATATATAAAAAACAAGTAGGGGTGACATCTATGCCTGCGAGGGTCTTTGAAGGCCTTTAGAGTTTACATTAAGATCAGCACGACCGCATAGCTAAAACAGAAGACCTTCAAAGATTTTTTAAAAAGCTGCACAACTGCAAAATAAATCTAGAGACACAATAAAAAGATAAAGACGTTATTATGACGTACGAGAATTTTCCACACAATTATAGAATAAAGTACAGCTAAACGTCTAGTAAGTAACCAAGGCATTGGGAATCTTAATTAGAAATTTTGAATAAGGGAATAATCATAAAAACATTTTTTTTTCATAAAATAACAAATATTTACTTTTTTATAGTTAGCCATAAACAGAATCCGCAAAATACCAGATTAAAAAATTTAACATAAGTATATTAAATGTACAAAGTTTGTAATAAACTTTATTAAGAACTCTTATCTTAAACTCTATATTATTAGCATTTGGCTGTTTGAAAATAAACCACAAAATCAGGTTGATAAACTTGTATCGGACCGAACAATCAGTGGACGTGCTGTTGAAGCCAGATTGTTTTCTCGACGCCCTGCAAAGAAACTGTTGATTTTACTAAAGAACCAGAAGAAAAGACTCCTGTTTGCTTCATGGCTCCCGACAGTCTTGGATTGGAACTAAGAAAGAAAATTATTGGCGATTACGTAAGTGGAATGTCACAAAAAAGTATTTGTGATAAATATCGCGTGAAAAAATGGACCGTATCAAGACTATGTTCCAAATATCGTTCTACGGGGAAGTTGGCATCAGATAACAAAGGTGGAAGACCGCGTTCTACCACTTCTAGAGAAGATTCTATGATCGTCAGATCCGTCAAGAAGGATCCCTGGATACCATCAGTCGAGATGCAAAAGCAATTAGAGCTGCCTGTATTGGACCGAACAATCAGAGGACGTGCTGTTGAAGCCAGATTGTTTTCTCGATGCCCTGCAAAGAAACCGTTAATTTCACTAAAGAACCAGAAGAAAAGACTTCTGTTTGCAACATCTCATATTTACTCGAATGTGCAGAAATGGCGAACTGTCCTGTTCAGTGATGAATCGAAGTTCAACATCATTGGGAGCAATGGCAATTGCCGTGTAAGTCGACTGGCCGGAAAACGCCTTGATTTACGTTACTGCCATAAAACCGTGAAACATGGTGGAGGCAATTTAATGGTATGGGGATGTTTTTCTGCTAACCGTCTAGGTCCAATACATCGAATCAATGGAATAATGGACCGTTTCATGTATAAAAATATCCTGAAAGATGTTAAGTTATCTCATGTGTCATTGATCACCTGATCGAATCTATGCCTCGAAGATGCAATGCTGTGATCGACAACAAAGGATTCGCCACGAAATATTGATAGCGAAATACAGCTTGGTCAACATTTTGTGGAGTTGCACATGTTTTGTCCAGAAGGAAATCAACTTTTTTTAATACTTTTGATTAATTTATTAATTTTCATGTACAAATAATGAACTTTGTGATGAGTAAAACTTGAAGAACGTTGTCTCTAAACAGTTACATAGTTATTTCTCTAAATTGAAAAAATGCACTTTTATATAAAGAAACTAAATTAGCATTATTTGGTTGCACTTGTTTTGTCCGATAATGTATATAATTAAGAACTTCAATAAAAGACTGTTTAAAATCAGTGAAGCAGTGCCAAATTAATTAAACAGTGTTTCTGAAATCGAATGAGACATTGTACAGTGGTTAATTCAACACTTTTGCAGACATTTGATTGTAAGTAGAAAAAATTTCTTTATATCGGTATAAGAAAATAATATATTATTCTGATACATGTTTTTAGCTCAATTTTTGAAACTCTATTCCAAAAAAAAACTGTTTAACTATATGAGAAAAACATTTAATAATTATGAGTATAACATATTACGTCTTTTTAAGATACATAATAATACATGGTTAATTAAACATGTTCACAATAACTAATTAACCTAATATTTCAAGCATTAAATCCTCTGATGATCATGATTATGTTCATTTGATAAATTTAGGACACCAAAAAAAATTAAAAACTCTAGAACACCAAAAAAAGCACTATAAAGAATACAGCTGTAAAATATTTTAGGATTAATATATAAGGTCAATTTTGAAGGTTTTTCCACCAAAAATATTAACAAGACCATACATCAAGAACACAAACTAAAAAACTAATTGACAATTACATACTTTTAAAAAAACCTAATACATTTTTCTTGTGTCATTTAAAATGACACAAAAAAAAGAGACACTAGAAAGGATGCATCTGTAAAAAATATCATTATTTAAGATTATTATTATGTATTGATACATGCTTTTAGATCAAGTTGTCAAGCTTAATCTTCAAAAATTAATCCAAGATCATGCAATAACATAAATACATATTGATGTTATGAGTGTTTATAATTGCAAAATTATCTTCCTTATCATATCTTACTTGTTTAACTACAAAAAGTTATAGATTGAAAATAATTTAAAATTTTTGAAAAAATTAAAAAATAACATTTTTGGGGGACTTTGGGCAAGAGTTTCGGTTAACATTTTGGGCTGAAAATTTGAATTTTGGGTGTTTACACCACCCATCACTAGAAAACAGCCAGGGAGATTGACATTTCTAAACTTTGGTTTTTTCGTAACACCCTAATTATTATGTCATAATTTTAGATAAAATCGTCAAGCTTAATCTACAAAAACTATTCCAAGATCATGCAATAACATAAATACATAAAATAAATAATAGAGAAAGCAGTCTTATACTAGAAGTAGTGTTTGACCAAGATAAAAATAGTGGAAAAAAGATTTACAATTAATTGCACAATGTTAGTGCAAGTAGTATTATTATGGTTATGTAGTGCTTAATATTCTAATTCACAAAATTATTACATTGCAGGAGCAGCAAAACAAAAACTCAAAAGCCACTCATGATTAAAACAAAAAAAGAGTCAAATCAAGTGTCCATTTTATTGTTTAACAAGGAAATAAAACTAATGAAAGATAATGGAATTATTGTTGAACATAATGACTATAGACACCATTTTATAGTAAACACTGTTGCCCATAGGTCAAACAGAAAGGGATCTAAAACTTAACAAGGTATTTTTATAATCTTTCAAAAAAAAAAAAAAAGGATCAAATAAAAAGAGTTCAAGATGGTTTTGTCATAAGCAGGGATATTAAGTCAATGCAGCAAATAATATATATATATATATATATATATATATATATATATATATATATATATATATATATATATATATATATATATATATATATATATATATATATATATATATATATATATATATATATATATTATATTTAGTATATATATAATATTTTAATTTATACATCTGTGCTTCCAACAAGGCTGCAAGCAACCACTAATTAGAGTTGGAAGATACTAGAAGAGAAAAGATGAAGATTGTAGAACAAGATAACGATTGACAGATAACTTAAAAGATTGCAAATTAGATAAATCAGGAAAGCAAGATGAAGGAAACGAATTCCAAAGAACTGATTTTCGAGGGAAAAAGCAGTAACAAAAAAAGGATGAGATTTTGAATAGCGAGTAACACAAGAATGAATTTTAGTAGATGGCACAAGAGATGCTAGCTCTTTAGAGCATGGCCCATTATAGTATTTGTAGAAAAAAGAAAGAGAAGCAACATTACGACAATGTGATAATGGTTGAAGTTTGGCTGCAAGAGCAGGTCCAACTATGTTTACAATGTGTTTATGCACCTTGTCTAAAAGAGAAAGGGCGTCATTAGAAGATCCGCCCCAGATATGTATATATACTACAACAGTATTCCATACAAGGACGGATTTGAGATATATAGAGATAGAGAATAGAATCTGGAGTAAATGCTCGATAAAGAGATGCGACTTTAGCAAATGCTAATTTAGAGCCCCTCTGAGAGCTACCAGAGTTCGGGAAACCTGACTACCAGCCAGTCTGAGAGCCATAAAACTGAATTTTAGAGCTGTACCCTCATTAAGAGATATTAGAATGAGTTGCCTAATCACAAAAACAGAGACACAAGCAAAGCCCATGCATCTGTTCAAGAAGATCCAGCATTCAACAACCTAAACTAGAAAAAATATGTTAAAAATACATCTGCGCCAGCCTAATAGATGAAAAAGGGTTGTGAGGCTGGTCAACAGATAGAATCTGTTTACCCTTAAGTATGTTATATTATGTTATATTTATGTTAATATTATATTGTGTTATTATATTATTTTTATGTTAATATTATGTTATATTATGTTATATTTATGTACAATATTATGTTATCTTTATGTTAATATTATAATATATTATGTTAATATTATGTTATCTTTATGTTAATATTATAATATATTATGTTAATATTATGTTTTATTATGTTAATATTATGTTATTTCCTTAATTTTAAAGTGGTGTGATTTTGCAAGCGTGTAGAGCAGGTTAGTTCACCTTGCCAGCCAAGCGGTGTACTTAAAACTGAGGTGTGACTTGGTAATGTTTAGTGTCAAGGGGTGTTACTGCTTTGCTGTAGCTACATTGTGTTGTCAAGCAATTTTTAATTATTTTGAAAATTTTTGTTTGAAATTTATTTTTTTAGTTATGATGGAGACTTATCTTTAGGTAATAATCAAGTTTAACTAAGTACATTAAACGCTTTTAATGAAAGAAACTATTTTTCTAATAAAGTAGAGGAGGTTACCAAAAAATTAATAAGTCGTTCATTATTAGAAGTTAACATTTGTAACAAGTATAACAAAGACTCCTTTGATTTCTCCATAAAGTTAAAAGATGAAAATTCAAGTTAACTATTCAAAAAAATTTTTTTTATGTAAAACAAATAATGTATTAACTAAAAGAAAGAAAAATTTAGCACTAATCAACGGTACTTTTTATAAATTAACAAAACCACAATACCTCTAAAGGTTATAATTATTTAACTTTAGTCGAGTATTTAACTCCAATTGTTTAATGAAATAGATGAAAAAGAATCTTTGCTATTATTTACTTTTTTTTTTTAATTTTAATTCACCTCCTCAAGGCCGAGAAGGCCACTAAAGACGAGGAGGCTACTTATTTGTGGCTATAACCTTCTCTCAACTCTATAACTCTGAAACACGAACCTTGATGAACAAGGCCGCTGCGCGGAGAAACGAGTTGAGCGCGGTACTACCAGGGACGTGGTGAGGATCGAACTCCGAACCACTCGTTTATGAAGTGAGCGCTCTACCACTACACCGCTACCGCGCACTACCAGGGACGTGGTGAGGATTTACTTATTGAAATTAAATAAAATTGCCAGACATTTTGTATGAATAGGTGAGAAACAGATCATAACCCATTTTTCAGGTTGTCCATGATAGTGGGACTTCTGGCAACCCTATCTTCTTGTATATGCTGTGCTGTGGCAGGTTTTAAAAAAACTTAACTGATGTTAATGTAATCTTTTTATGATGTTAACCCTAAGCATTGAGAATGCTAATAGGAAGCTGAACTTAAAATATCATTTATTGACAAATTTGTATTTAATTATATTTTTTGAGATAATAGATCAAGTTATATAGTTATTAAAGATTTAGTTACTATGCAACCCGTATTATGGGTTGCTTACTGCTAGTATTTATAAGTAAACTTACTTGATATACATAATATTTACTTACATAAAGTTTAATTTATTTGTGTAAAGTTTTTCTGAACAATAATCTTATAATATTATTTTTACATATTATTTTTTACAGTCCATACTTCAATGTTTGCAATAGGTGGTTAGTGCAAACTTTCAAATAAATGATTGAACCAGATTTTTTTAGTTTTATTTTTTTAATTTTGAAGTAATTTATTACATTAAAAATGTGTTCTTTTCATTTTATATTCATGTTGTTATTAAAAAGTGCTTCTTTATTTTGCAAATAATTTGCATGTATGTTTTAAAACTTTGGTTTTACTTAATTATTAACTTACATTAAACATTCACAATAATATTGTTTTAAAAATAAATTTCTTCAATAAATTCAAAATGGGAAAACGATGGAGTGAAAACAAAAACAAATTTTTTACATACTTGATAGAATTCAACATCAAGTTCAACAGTACAGTTTTATTGAACTTGTTATAAAGGTTTTGTATCTAAAAAACAATTAGTGATCAAATAAACAATCAAATATTTATAATAAGACAAACTAAGTAAGATATTAGTATAAATAAGTTAAAGTAAATACTGCAGTTTTAATTTTGTCTTCCAGTGGATTATATACTTCATCAGACGGATTTACAAACTGTTCTATGTAATCAACATCTGTGAAAATAATTCCAAAGTTGACTTTCACATCTAAAAACATATACAAAACTATTTTTTATTTTAAAAAGTTAATAGATAATAAAGAGCTTAAGGTACAAATAGAGAGACTGACTATAGAAAAAAGTTAAACAAAAAAAGCAAAAAAAAAACAACTACCAGAACAATAACTTTAAAAAATTTTTTTTTAGAGTGGGGAGAAATTAACAGCTAAATTTTAAAGGTGTAGATAAATTATTGTGGGTCTATACTCCAAAAATGCAAATCATAAAATCCAAAAATTTGTTCTAATGAATTAAATTATATTTAAAACATTCTAACAAAGTTTTAAATATAATTTAAAATAAGTAGTTAAAAATATATTGAGAGTTTGAAGTAAGCAGTATATACATATAATAATATTATTAATATATAGTAATATAAATATAAAGATTTTCATTAATAACAACAAAAAAATATTAATAGCAAATATCCTAATTTTGCTATCAAACTGATTATCAGATTTCATATAACAGTTATTGTAAAAATAACAGTAAAAATTTTTTATGCAAGTTATTTAAGCATATCAAAACAATTGTCTAATTTGGGAAATTTAAGGTTATTTTCTTGTGAATGAGTATGGACAACTTTAAAATGGTGTCTTTATTTTTTATATTCTGAAACAACTTTTTCTTTACTATAGTTTTCTAAACAAATTGCATCCAGAAAACTATGCTTGATATCTGCACCATTAAATATGGTTTCATATAGAAGAACTTTTCTGTTTCAAATATTACTTTATTTCTGTTTCAAGTATTACTCATATAAACTATATAAGATCTTGGATTATTAAACAAATTAATTCATCTTAATATATTACAATTCCAAAGATTTTATGTTTTTGTATAAGTCTTATGAGACTTAAGAGATTTGTCAAACGCTTTAGCAAAAATGAGATAAAGAATAATAAGCAGCCGTGGCGCAGTGGTAGCGCACTTGCCTCAGAAATGTAAGATTGGTGGTTCCCTACCTCTGAGCAAGTTATGCGATATTGGTTGGGAAGGAGGCATAAACTTACAATTAAATGCACATATGCGTTGCTCTGTAATAAGACCGTAAAGACTTCTTGGGGCACCTAAAATAAAAATTAAAGAAAAAGAATCTTAACACAATGGTATTAAGATTTTCTAGTCTATCAAAAGTAAGAAAACCATGGTCTCTAGTAAGTTTGTAACAAGATTTTTGTTCACCAAAAGTAAGGTGGGATCACAGATACTACTTAAACATTTTTTTTAATCATATATTTAATAAAGTTAAGTTTTTCCCAACTTTTAAATTTACCCTTAAATTGGTAAAAAAAAAGCATAATTTACCAATAAATATTGGTAAAAGCAGTGAAAAATAAAAAAATCATAGAAACTTGTATAAAAGTGAAATTGGATTTTCATCAAGATTTTCTGAACCACACACTTCTTGAATGAATTCCAAGTCATCTAGATTCGTTAGGAATAATCTAGACAACAAATCTTTGGCAGTCTTTTGGAGTACAGACTTTAAAGACATTTTGAAAACTTAATGTCAGATATACATTCGGATTCCATGTCAGATGCAGGCATTGAGGCCCACAACTTTTGCCTTTCTCAATCCCTAACTAAAATAGTCAACTTTCCAACTCGCTTTTCAGACAACCCGAATCATTTACCTTCTCTACTCGACTAATGTCTTGTTTCTAATCCTAGTCAGTGCTCAGTTTCACCACACTCACCCTTAGGTGCTTCTGATCATGGTTTGGTCTCTCCAAAACTATTATCTCATTCTTCTTTACCATCAGAATTCCCCTATCATTGTACATCTTACAACTACCTTACCATCAGAATCCTCTATCATTGTAAAAAATGTTTAAGCAGTATCTGTGATCCCACCTTACTTTTGGTGAACAAAAAGTAAGGTGGGATCACAGATACTGCTTAAACGTCTCCTTTACCATCAGAATACCCCTATCATTGTACATCTTACAACTACCTTAAAGCTGACTGGAACTCTTTCCGTGATTTTCTTCGTGATGGCACCTGGGTACAAATCTTTCGTATTTCTGTTGACAAATGTGCTTTGACAAAAAGCTGAATTGTTTGCCAAGAACTTTTCATCAATATCATCTCTTGATGCCACTAGTTGCATTCTACCTGATATAGCCGTCAAACAGGTTGATCCATTGCTCGACATTCGTATCACTCCAGCTTCTGTATCTAAAGTTTTCCTGCTTAGACTCTTCTACAGCTTGCGGCCAGGACAACATACCTGTTATAGTCTTGCAGAAGTGTTCTCCGGAGCTGTCATCTATCCTTTCAAAACTATTTAACAAGTGCTTATCAGAGTCTTGTTTTCCAGCCTGCTTGAAAGCAGCATCTGTTATCCCTATTTACAAAAATTCTGGAGAGTGATCTGATTTGTCTAACTACTGTTCCATTAGTCTTCTTCCTATCATAAGCAAGGTTTTTGAATCTTTAATTAACAAACACTTAATCTCTCATCTCGAATCTCATAACCTACTTTCTGATCATCAATATGGATTTCGATCTTCTTGTTTTACGGCTGATTTGCTAACAGTAACCGATAGGTTACTGTTAGCAAATCAGCCGTATAACCGATAACAATAACTGATAGGTTTTATCGCGCATTAGATAAAGGTGGAGAGGTTAAGGCCATTGCTCTTGACATTTCTAAGGCGTTTGATAAAGTTTGGCATGCTGATCTTCTCCATAAGCTTTCTTCTTACAGTGCATCTGGAAACATCTTTAAGATTATTGAATCCTTCCTTTTCAATCGTAGTATAAAAGTTTTCCTTAATGGACAGCACTCTTCTTCTTATTCTGTAACCTCAGGGGTTCCTCAAGGTTCAAACCTTGGCCCTATACTCTTTTGAATTTACATTAACAATATTCCAGATTTTCTCACATCTAAGGTGGCATTGTTCGCTGATGATACTACCATTTATTATTGTCACGATAAGAAGCCAACTCCCTCTGATTGCTTGCAGTGGGCATCTGAGCTTGAAAAGGATCTCACTTCAGCTACAGCATGGGGCTCATAGTGGCTGGTGAACTTTAATACAGATAAAACTCAATTTTTTGCAGCCAATCGTTATCGCAATAATTTACACCTTGCTATATTTATTAACGGTAATGTACTCAATGAGCCTCCTACCCTTCATCTTCTAGGATTAAGTCTTACTTCTGATCTTTCTTGGAAACCTTATATCAAATCCGTTGCAAAATTAGCATCTGCTAAAGTCGCTTCTCTTTATCAAACTCGCCACTTTCTTACTCTGGATTCTATTCTCTATCTCTATAAATCTCAAATCCAGCCTTGTATGGAATACTGTTGCCATATCTGGGGTGGATCTTCTAATGATGCCCTTTCCCTTTTAGACAAGTTGCAAAAACGCATTGTAAACATAGTTGGACCTACTCTTGCAGCCAACCTTCAACCTCTGTCACATCGTCGTAATGTTGCTTCTCTTTCTCTTTACTACAAATACTATAATGGGCACTGCTCTAAAGAGCTAGCATCTCTTGCACCATCAACAAAAATTCATTCTTGTGTTACTCGTCATTCAATGAATTCTCATCCTTTTTTTGTAACTGCTCCTAAGTGCTCCAAAAACTCTTATTCGTCTAGTTTTTTTCCTCGAACATCAGTTCTTTGGAATTCGCTTCCTTCATCTTACTTTCCTGATTCATATAATTTGCAATCTTTAAAGTCATCTGTCAATCGTTATCTTGCTCTACAATCTTTATCTTTTCTCTTCCAGTAACTTCCAATACTAATTAGTGGTTGCTTGCAGCCTTGTTGGAAGCGAAGATGTTAGAAAAAAAAAAAAAAAAAAGATATACAGATACCTTTCCAATCCAGAATGTATATCCAACATCTTTAATGTCAGATATACATTCCTGAATCCTGTCGGAAAAACGGCTTCTGCTCTTGAACCAGCCAATTTGGCTGGTTCAAGAGCAGCAACAATGTCATTTAAAATGTTTACTTCATCATCACTGCAAATCAATATGGAGAAACGTTTTTAAATATTTTTTTAAGTGAATATTCAACTTTGGAAAACTGTTGAATCATTGACAGTAGCCTGTTTCATCTTGTTTTGCCGTCAAGGATAAATGAAGCCTCTTTTCTGTGCTG